TCCGTAGTTGTTTAGTGTATGCATCATGATTGTACATAACTAAGATCTTATAGCTGGAGAATGTTTGATTTGACCTTATTTATTGTTCTTGTATGATAATGGGCTTAGGGTAGGATCAGGTATTCGAAAGTCTATAAGGTCCAACGTTATGTATGGCTAGCATACACGAGTTCTCCATTGTAGGTGGAAGTTTCATGGGTGGGTTGTGCAGGGTTAGTAGGCCAGTAATGAGATATTTAGCCTTCCTCTAGGAGTGAGCATCGAGCGATCACCATGCATACGTATATTGTTAGGGCATTGTGATGATTCTTAAGACAAATACGGGTAGGTGTGAAAGAAAGTGTGGGCGCATACTACTAAAAGGACAGGTCCCATACCCGTAGCAAGGAAGTCACAACCCCTAGAGATTTGTAGGGAGTTGGTTCCTAGATTATTATATGGAATTTATGATATCTTCTTGTTGTATTTTCAGCATGGTGGTTGCTAGACAGTTTATGACTGGATCCAGATCAGGATTAGGAGATGGCAGTCATGAGGGACCCGCAATTCCCGGGGTCATTGGTCAGATGAGGTAGGATGAGCTCGACATCAGGATTCGAGATATCCTGCATGATGATGTTGCTACTCTGTTATGGGCATAGTTCTCGGAGATGTTTGGGTCTATTAAGACCACCATGGTTGAGTACTTTGACGAGCGTGGAAGGGCTCGATCGGAAGTCCAAGGATCTGAGGAATAAGAGAGTGGAACTCGTGAAGGTGCAATGGCAGCACCGGAAGGGCTCAGAATGGACTTGGGAGCCGGTGGACGAGATGATGGAGCACTATCCAGAGCTGTTTCAGGAACGAGCAGCAGACTTCGAGGACGAAGTCTAAAATAAGTGGGGAAGATTTGTAGCACCTGGTTCTTGGTACACATTTCTTTTTATTTTTATCTATGTATTTTGCATTTTTGGCCTTGGACTCGGCGAGTTGAAGGACCAAATTCCCAAGTACAAGTGAGATGGGAAGCGGGATTTAAGCGATGGACTCGACGAGTCGGGTCCCGGACTCGACGAGTAGATGCTGTCTGGACAAAAACCCTAATATGAGGGTTTGCACCCTATTTAAGCAATGTTTTGTCGGCCACAACGTCCCTTATGCTCCCAAAACACCTCTCATTGAAACCCTAGCCGTTATTGAAGCAATCTAAGCCTTGTTGGTGGATTTTGGTGCTTGTGGTCTTAAGAAGGAAGGAGAAAATCTTGAGGAAGCAAGTAGAGACCAAGGGAACCCGAGTTTGTGCACCTTCTATAGCTCATTGAAGGTAAAAAGTTGTAACCTTGCTCATTCATTTGTTAGATCCATCTTTGGGAAGATTTAGGGCTTTTATAAGCCATTTTTGCTAGCCAACCATGTTTTCAAACATGGTTGGGGGTTAAAGCTTCTGAATCACATCATTAAATGAGTCACTAGGCATATTTGGGTTGCTTTTGCACCCATGAAAGTTCCCATGCACCAAAGGATCTTGTTTTATGTCTTTTTGAGCTCAAAGTCCCATGCAAGCACGTAAAGTTTGTAACTTTACGTGCTAGATCGATTGTAGAAGCTTGGATCTATCTTTTGATCAAAGGTTGTACATCAAAAATCGAGGATTTAGAATGTGGACGTGACCGACTCGGCGAGTCTGTTCTTGGACTCGACGAGTCCGAGGCTTCGAGCTCCATATCTGTTGAGGGTCAAAGGAACCCAGTTGAGTGTTAGAAGGGTTGTAACCGTACATAACGAGTTACCCAATGCATTGGACTTGATTTTAGACATAGAGTTCATGGGTCTCGGAGAGTACTAGAACAAACTCGGCGAGTCCAATGCAATCTCCTTAAGATTGGACATGAACTAGACGAGTTGTTCATCAACTCGGCGAGTCGAGGACATGACTTGTTCATCAGATGAAGGTGGACTTGACGAGTGTTCATACAACTCAGCGAGTCAGATGAGGTTCATACAATGTTCATATGAGAGAGGAAGTCATCGAGTTGACGACCCAACTCGACGAGTCGATTCATGGATGAGGACGAGTAAAGGGTGAGGGACTCGGCGAGTTGACAGCCCAACTCGTCGAGTCGGGTCAACTTGAAGTTGAATTTAACTGGACTTGGACTGACCCTTTTTAGGGTTGTACATGCTGTGTATCGACTTGAAGGTTCTCGTGTAGGGATCGAGGAGTCGTAGGGAGTCGACTTGTGCACCGAGAATAATTCAAACACTGCACGACATTGAGGTGAGTTACCTTCCAGTAGGGTTGGGTCTAAGGCCACAATGTCGGCCCACCAAAAAGGGGTATTTAGAAGAGAATGGTCTCTGTGATAATTATCTTGGTCTGGTTATGTGTTGGTTATGAGCTTTATCTAGATGATATGTTATGTTATAGTAGGGATTAGTTTCCCTAACAGTGGTCCGTAGGACCTAAGGGTAGGTCAGTACGCGGATATGCCTGATTGTATGTTTATATCTGTTGATTGTATGCTAGTGGTAGGGGTGAAATAGTCCCTAGTTACCGGTTGAAAGATACCGATGATGGATACTGGTTGAAAGATATCGATGTTGATTACCGGTTGAAAGATACCGATGATGGTTACTGGTTGAAAGATACCGACGATGGTTACCGGTTAAAAGATACCGATGAAGGTTATCGGTTGAAAGATACCGACGATATTGTATGGTATGTGGTATGATGGGGGAACTCACTAAGCTTTGTGCTTACAATTTTGGTTTTGGTTTCAGGTACCTCTTTTTCGAAAGGGAAGGAGCCAGCGGTGTAGCAGCACATCACAAACACGCACTCATGGTTTCCGCAAGGAGTTTTGGGACTGTACTCTGATTTTTATTACTTTTGACGTTATGATTTGGGACACAACAATATGATTTTGTGATGTGTTGTTTATTTGACAATATTTTGGCAAAAAAATGTTTATGGAATTGTTAACTAAAAAATGAAATTTTCGGGCTTGAATTTTGGGATGTTACAATCGATGTCCAGATAAAACAACACTCGGTCAATTGCTACAAAAGCTCCTCACACTAAACATAACCAAATAACCCTAATTAGAAATTATGGTAACATTCCATAATTATGGTTCCTAAGCATACTCTCCTTGGGGTAAATGGCCATCTTACCCCTTCACGGCTAGGACCCACCCCTAAAGTCATACCAGGTCAAAAAGTCAAACCACAAGGTCAAATCCATCAGCTAAAACCCTAATATCGGGTCCCACATCGTGAAGAGCGCATGGTCATGTCATGAGAGTCCACCAAGTCCGATTCCAACAACTCATTCCAGGCTCAGTCACAGGTTTTCTGCTGGACTAACCTCACAATATGAGCATCACTATGTCACGTCGTGAGTTTTAGATACCCAATGATCTACTGGCTTTTTCATTATCACATCATGAAACCTTATGTCTCACGTCGTGACTTCAGTTTGAAGCCAAAAATCAAGGTTTTAAGTCATTAATCTGTTAACCCATCAAATCTAACTTTTATAAGAAGCTTAAGGGGACCTTAACGGTCCATAAAAATGTTTGATTTGTGGAAATGCATGTACCATGCATGTCCCAATCCATTCTAGGTCAAAAAGTGGGGAAACATGCATCAAAATCTCATGCATGACTCTTATACCTCACAAACTTCTAGACAATATGATGTCCAAGGAACCCCTAGAATCCATAAAGTTGCTAACTTTATGGGTGTACTCCACTTAAGCTTGCATAAACATGAAGGAAAGGGACAAAAACCTAGATCAATCCATAATATGCAATAAATTTTGAACCTTTAGCACTTACAAAGGTCCAAAAACAAGAAGAGATGACGATGATGATGTTACCTTGAAAAATCCACCACCAGGACACTTCTTTTCCTCTTATTCTCTTCTTCTTCTTCTAGTTGGAATATGCACCAAAATGGCTAAGGATATCAATGAGGGTTATGATTAGGGTTTCTGGAGGCTTAGAGAGTGAGGGAGGTTGAGGGTGGCAACCCTAGCCCTCTCATTCCATTAAATACCGAAAAATTAGGGTTGTGGTCATCAAACCGCTCTCACGTCATGAGCAATAAGGGCTCACTTCGTGAGACTCAAGGAATATGGGTCAAAAAGTCAATCCTAACTCATGACGTTGGAGGCATTATTCATATCCTGACTTCCTCCAAAGGCTAAAGACAAACCTCGAAATCAAGTACCTTAAAATTAAATGTTACATTCAAATTGACCACACCTTCACTTGTGGGGGATGATAAAGTACACAATCCGATTAACCGATTACACATTAAATTTTCAAGGAGTCCCTATATATATATATATATATATATATATATATATATATATATATATATATATATATATATATATATATATATATATATATATATATATATATATATATATATATATATATATATATAGAGTTACTTAAGAAGTTTTTGATATGGTAATATTTGAGTATTTCCTTTAATTGTCGTATAAATATAAGACCTGAAATATATAAAAACTTATTTTCTTCTTATACTAACTTCTTTAATTAATGTTAGACTGTTAGTGTATCCCACATTGATGCGACAAAATCATATAAGTTATTAAATATGTTTGAGTCCCCCTTCTCTTCACAAGGGTTCTTTGGAGAGTTAGTATCAGGCTCCACATATATTTACATGGTACGTGAGTCGGTGCTCTTCACTCTATGACTTAACACATCCTTATATATCCTTATCGATCCTCCAACTCTAGGGGAGAGTGTTAGTGTATACCATATCAGTACGAGACTGTATTATAATAACAATTACAGTCATACAACCTACCTCTAACTATTTATACTATTGCAACAAGTATTCTTATACCAAATATCTTTTGCATGTGATAAGTTCGATACAAGTTTTTAGAGAGCTCGATCAACTGGAACTTTTCTCATTCCAATAATAAAATACTTAAAAATCTTTAATATCAATTGTTATATCAATCAAGTATTGTTTAATTATTTTTGCATGACATTTCTAAACAAAAGATACTTCACAGTGGACATCAAATTACGTCCAACTAAAAGTGAGATGATATTATGGACCTCCATTTTTTCACGAAGTATGTAAAGTACAGAGATGATAAGGGCAAAAATAGAAGTGACCCCACTAATAATAAAAAGACCACCAAATCTGTTAAGCTTCAAAGCTTGGGGCATTGTAGAATTTCTGGCTGGAACCAATAAGTGATTATCAAACCACTTACTCTCCAAACTTCCTAGAGTCCCATCTAATCTCATTCTGGCGATTTCTCTTGACACGTCTTCTACCAACGGCGAACCTTTTTGGAACATCTGGATGAGATACATGTCAACCAAAGTTATATATGAAAATATGAAAGGCTCCTTATGTGTATACTATAAAAAATGTAAATGTTGACTACTTGAATTGACTATTTAAGAGGAAATATATTAATTAGCTTTATCAAATATATTTTATATGCTATGAAACTAGTTTATATAAAAAGCTTTTATTTTCTATGAAATGAAAAACTTCTTGCAAGTGCTACATTACAGTGTTACATTAGCTTGTACTTTCCTTATTTATGCAACTATTTTTAGATTTATATTGTATGGTGATTTTATTGGTTATGTGGGAGCTGATTCTTACTCTTTTAGGTGATTGTTTGGTTATCAAGCCACCTCATTAGTTAGGAAGTTTTCCATGTTATCAGGAGTTTTTTTTATTTGTATTAGGATACTTCATGGCTTTGTAAATAAAGCAACTAGTAGGTCTTTTCTTATTTTTTCCTACACAACTCATTTTTCTATTCTCTCGGTGATTTTAACCTTTTATAACCCTTCATATTTTAGATTTTACTAAAGTAATATTAATGCCTTCAACGTTTTACTATTTTAGGTTTCCAATCAAATCTCTTGTGTTCTTCATGCGTTGATTGTTTGTGTTCCAATCATAGTGTATATTACAACAAAATCAACGTGAATACTATTAATTAATATGACATCCATAATAATGCATTGAATTCATTAAAAGTTAATGGGTTGGCAAATCATCATTTTACTCTCCATACAACTCTACTAAAATTTTATCACAATACATTGAACTCTAAAACATTTAATGGAAAATATATCTAACTTATGAAATTAAATAATTAAAATATTTTTTTTCCATTAAAGAGTTCAACGACTATTGAAATCCATATCCATTGAACGCAAACATGAAATCTTACACTATGGTAGAGTTTAATTAGTTGATTGTTAATTAGACATGACACTTTATTCAAATCTCCCATTAAACCATGCATTGTGGACATTCTTATGCAATGATAATAATGAAAAGTAATCCGGTTAGGAAATATCTTAAAAATAAAAATGTTCCCAAATTTATGAACCAATGACCCATTGCAACAAGTTTTGTAATTTGGCTTCAAAATTTTTAAAACAAGATTCTATTTCTCATTTGCGTTTACCTTTATTCTCCATTCTATAGGCCTTTCATAACCTTACACTCAAACATATTTTTCTCATGATTGATTAAATGAAATATTGAAATGTCTATAATTAATGACCATAAATAAATCACCTAGATAATAATAAATAAGGAATTGATGGATAGCCTTACACTCAAACATATTTTTCTTATTTGCGTTTACCTTCATTTTCTAGTCTTTCCCTTTTATATCCACATATCAGTTTACATGACTCAAAATCATCACAAAAAATAGTGACTTTTTGATATTAAACTGGATAATAATGAATAAGGAATTGTCGGACAGCTTTTTCTATTAAACCTTAGAAGGGAAGGATAGCATGGGAAGGATAGAAAGGAAGGGTAACTTTTTCTCTCATGGTTTGATAGAAAAGATAGAAAATAATAGAAAATGAATGATAGGATAGAAAAGTGATTTCTCTCTCCTAGGAAGGATATGCTTCTCTTTTCTAGATACCATTTTTTATTAATAAAAAAAAATTGTAGGGTACAATTGTTTAAAGCTCTTCCTGGGTACAAGTGTTAAAAGCTCTTTCTAATTGGTTGTCAGGTAAAGGAAGTGGAACATGACCTTTTATTTATTAGTTTTAGATATGCTAGGTACTTTCCAGGATTTATGGGATATGTCTAGATATGGGTAATTTTTTTTTTTTTTTTGTAATATCAATCATCTTAGGCTATATATTTGTCTGGTGGTCAGCCACTTCTTGTAAGCAATGTAACTGTGTGTTTCCTTTATAAAAGACTTAAGCTTTTAAACTTGTAATACTTGGCCTTATTTTCTTTTCTATTTATGTACATTTTTTATTTGCCAATATTGTGAATGGTAAATCACCTATAATATTGCATAAAATTAGACCCTTATTTCCAATAAGTGGTATTAGCGCGTGGTTATTGTATGCCGAAGTATATGCCAAGATTACTCATGGGAGATAAAGGTTAAGGTGTTAAAAAATCCAAGAAATAAAGTAGTATTACGCTACACTATCCAATGCTTATGAAGTTAAATTAATTGGTGTGGGCTATAAAGATGCGAGTGAATTTGCAAGCATAAGGAGTGTGAGATGCAATTTAACAGAAAGTCTGAATGGATCTAGATGCAATTTATCAAGTAATTTCAGAGGATGTGCTACTTATGTTAGCTGAGAAGGACAACTAAAGAAGCATGGGAAATGATTAAAGTGATGCACATGGGTGCCGATCGAGTAAAAGAAGCTAAAGCACAAACCTTGAGAAGTGACTTTGATGTTATTCGAATAAAAAACAGTGAATCGGTGGATGATTTTTCATGAGAATAAATACCATTGTGACTGGTATTCGATTTCTAGGAGAAAAAAATAGAGGAAGTTGTGGTGGTGAAAAAGTCTCTTCGAGCTGTCCCATCACAATTTATGCAAATCGTGACATCTATAGAACGATTTGGAGACTTAAAAAACATGGCTGTGGAGGAGGTTGTGGCTCGTTTAAAAACTCATGAAGAGAAGCTTCAGAGTTATGGAGAACAATGAGACGAACCTTCCTTGTTGCTTAAACATACCAAGTAAGCATCACGGTCCAATAAAATTGACAAGGGGATTTCGTCAAACACATCAAATGATAGAGGTAGTCATGATGGCCAAGGCCATGGAAGAGGTCGAGGCCGAGGGCATGGACAAGGAGATGGTTGTGGTTCCAATGCAAAAACGAATTACCCAAAAAAGATGAAAGAAAAGTAAAATGCTTTAAATATGAGAAGTTTGATCATTATGCATTGGAGTGCCTGGAAAAGAACCGCGATGAGGAGTCAAACCTCACACAAATCAATGAAGAAGCACCCATCTTGATGATTACAATCTCAAAAGAACATGTATCCAAAAAGGTGTCACTAAAATAGATGATTTGTATTAATATTCTTGCATCGGGGGAGAGTCGAGTAGAGTCCAAGGTGTGGTATCTCGACAACGGTGATAGCGAACATATGATGGGAGGCCACTCAAAGTTCCATGACTTAGATGAAAATATTATGGATCGCATGGTATTTTGAGAGGGTTCCACTATTGCTATTTTAGGAAAAGGATCAATTTTATTTGATTGTAAAAATATCGACCAAAGACTTTTAAATGAAGTATAATACATTCCAAGTCTTAAAAATAACATCACTAGTCTTGCATAAATGACAGAAGAAGGAAGTCTAGTCACTATGTACAGGTCGGTTTTGATGTTACACGATATAAATAAAATTATACTTTTGAGAGTTGAAAGATCTCCAAACCGGTTGTACACAACTTCATTAAGAACTGGTAGACCAACATGCCTTCTAGCCACAAAGGATGAACTAGCTTGGATATGGCATTCTTGACTTGGTCACGTTAATTTTCCCGCTTTAAAAAAAGTTTTTTTGAAAAAAACATGGCAACCAAAGTTCCAAGGATCGAACATCCAAATCAAGTGTATGATGGGTGTGTTCTTGAAAAACAAACCCGAATCTCTTTATCAAACCAAACTTTGTTTCGAGCTAAAAAAACACTTCAACTAGTACATGCGGACTGATGTGGTCCGATTACACCCACTTGGAAGTTTGAAGCCTTGGGTGCTTTCAAACGATTCAAGTTGATGGTAGAAAAAGGTTCGGGTTAAGAATTAAAGACACTTCGTATAACCGAGAAGGGAGAGTTTATGTCGAAAGAGTTCTCATCATTTTGTGAAGAATACAAAGTAAAAAGACATATTACAACTCCCCATTCGACTCAACAAAATGGAGTTGTAGAGAGACGAAATTGTATGGTTTATCTTCTCAACCGCTTGCCTGTGATAACGCTTCTTGACATCATGTCGTCTGGAGCTTGCTTTGACAAAAAACCAAACCTTGAATATTTGCGGATTTTTAATTATTTTGGCTATGCCAAAGTTGTAGGTGTACATTTGAAGAAACATGAAGACCGAAGCAAAAAAGATGGTGTATCTTAGGGTAGAAGATGGAACTAAAGGGTATCGATTATTTGATCCGGAGAGCTAGAAATTGTGGGTTAGTCACAATATTGTTTTTGTTGAAAGTGAGGATAGAATTGGTACAAAAACAAGGAAGATGAAGTCGTAGCTCCTAAAACATTCACAATAAGTAAGACAAACAGGCATATAGTCAATCTGACGTAACCAGACAGCCCCGAAGTCAACTTGAAAACCACGTACAACCCTAGAGTTAACCTGAAAAACTCGGAAAACCCCTATGTCGAATCTGTTCAGCCCTAAAAGTAACCCCATATACTCCTATTTCGGCCTTGTTTTATTCAAGCTTGACTGACACAGAAAGCCCTTCAAGTGAGGTTGGACCAAAACAATTTCGTTTGCTTGCCAATATCTATAATGATGCCAAAAATATGATCTTGGAACCCGGAGAAGGGTTGATAAGTGCAATAGATCAACCCTTGAATTTTAAATAGGTTGTTACCTTTAATTCATCGTAGGAGGCCATGCAAACGAAGTTGGATGCAATCACGAAAAACAAAACGTGGAAGCTTGTTGACTTGCTAACGGGTTAGAAAACGATAAGATCAAAATGGGTCTTTAAATTGAAAAAAGACATTCTTGGAAATGTCATAATATATAAAGGTCGAATAGTTGCAAAAGGATATGTGCAAAAACAAGGAGTCCACTTTGATGATTTTTTTGCACCGATAGCACGACTTGACACCATATGTGGCACCCGAGCCACCATGTATGAAACTAATCTATATATTAATTTAAAAAAGAAGTGGATGGTTCATGAGTATGATGGGCGTACGCTAGGTACGCACAATGTACTCCTTGCATGCACGTTATCGGGGTGATCCCGATGTACACTGGGCGTACCCATGCGTACACTGGGTATACGCAAGCTAGGGGCGACCCTAATTTTCAGTGTTTGCACCCTGTTTAAGATCCTTATGTCCTTCAAGTGCATCACCCTTTCATCCCCTATTGCCTTTTAGTTCTAATCTTGAAACCCTAGCCTTCTTGAGTGCATTTTTGAGCTTACATAGAGTTTTTGGGTGTTCTTTTATGGTTTTGAAGAGGAAGGAAGCTTGAGGAGAAGCAAAGGAGAAGAATGAGCTTGTAGATCTAGATTTTGTGCATCATTTCTAGCTTATTGAAGGTATAAAGTCTAAAACTTGTTCATTCTAAGCTTATATCTAGGTTTAGGGAAGATTTTAGCATCTTTTGGTCCCATAACTTGGTCTTTTGGAGTATGGGTTACTCCAGTAATTTAAGTTGTCCTTTAGGACTCTTAGGAGTGCATGAAGTCATAAAAATCACATCTTGAAGGTTAAGACACAACCATGCATGAGTTGGTGACCACTAAAGAGAGATAGAAGGCTTAACTCATGGTTTGGGTCCCAAAAAGGCATGCAAGAGCATAAAGTTTGCACCTTTATGGCTTAAGACACTTTTATGAACTTGGATCTAAGTTTTGGATGTTAAATATTAATGGATTAAGACATGGGAGCAATTATAGGCTGAATAACCAGTACGTCAGGCGTACTCTAGAGTACATTGTGCATACTGGGCCAGTGCCCTGATTCCAGATCATCGGTGTACGTCGGGCGTGTGAGCCATTTACGCCACATGTACGCAGTATGTGGGCTTATGAGATTTTTGGGCTTGAGTTTTGTTGGGCTTTTTGACTTGTTTAGATTTGGGCCTCAGGCCCACCTGTTATAGCAGAACATTATTGGGCTTTAGGCCACTTAGGGTGCTCTTAGGCTATATTGGGCATTAAGGGCCTTGTAGTTAGGATTGGAATGCCTTTTTGGAATAGTTAGATTTGGGCCTTGGTAGGGCAGGCCCAATGAGGCAAGGGTTAAGCAACCCTTTCTACTTTCAAGAAAATAAATAGGATTTGGTCCCTAGTGTTAAAATATTGGCCAAATTTCTAATTTTGGTTTTATACTTGTTCCTTAGGGAGAGAATTTCGCGAGTCAGCCGCTGAGTGTGATTTGATACCTTTAGTCAGATGTGAGTTTCCTTCACAATATCTGTGGGTCGAAGGTACCAATGCTGACCCCCTAGTTTATATTGTAGTATGATGGTTGACTTCGTGACAACTGTCAGTGATGTCTGTGTTGCTTGATGACTTTGTGATTCATTGTTATGATATTAAATGGTAGTGGTAGGGGGTGAAATAAGCCTAGTATCCAGTTGAAATAGACTAAAGGTGATTGCAAGCACCCATATATGCTTGACAGTATCTAGTTGAAATAGACCGAAGGGGATTCCAAGCTCCCAGATATGCTTGACAGTATCGGGTTGAAACAGACCGCAGGAGATTGCAAGCACCCATATATGCTTGGATGTATGGTTGTATGATGTGGGGTATTTTGAGGGAACTCACTAAGCTTTATGTTCACAGTTTTCAGTTTATGTTTTAGGTACTTCCAGTTCGAAGTGGAACGGCCCGACCTGATTGTAACGCATCAACCCATGATTTCCGCATTTTGAGATTTTGGGAGTTTGTACTGTGATATCATGTTGCTATGATATACTTTTGACTGATTTGATATGAGTATCGTATGTTTTGAATCAATTTAAAAACAAAATTTGTTTCTGTATTTTTGGGATGTTACACCATAAGGTTCATTCTTTCCTTAACGACTCAATGTGGGTGGGCCATCCATAATTTAGATGTTAAGTCGGATTTTCTTAATGGCGATATTGCAAAAGAGGTCTATGAAAGTCATCTGGAAGGATATGTTGACAAAATACATAGTCACAAGGTGCTTAAACTCTCTAAGGCGCTTTATGGTTTACGACAAGCCCGTCGAGCTTGGAACATTTGTTTGGATAAAAGCCTAAAAGGACTTTGTTTTCGAAATGTTCCCAAGACACGATGGCGTACAAAAGGAACCCGCAAGGAAAAACTCTTTAGTAGGTGTCTACGTCGATGACTTGGTTATTACGGGATCAAACAACGAAGACATTGTTGAATTCAAGGAACAAATGAAAAAAAAAACAATAAGAAATGAGTTATTTGGGTTTACTTTCTTACTATCTTGGAATAAAAGTGTCGCAACAGAAATAGGGAATTTCTTTACGACAAACGGCCTACGTAACAAAGATTTTGGAGCAATTCGGGTTACTAAAGTGCAACCCGACAACTTCACCCATGGAAACTAAGTTAAAGGTTAAGCAAGGTGAAGGCGGTGAAAAAGTTGACTCGATTGAATATAGGTGAGTATGGGATGTCTACGATACTTGACACACACTCGATCGTATTTATCATACGTGGTTGGTATTGCTAGTCATTTCTAGGAATAATCAACCACACTGCATTTTCAAGTGGTAAAAAATATTTTGTGGTATGTTAAAGGAACTGTTGTTCATGGGATAAACTATAGAAAAGGTCGTGAAGTTGAAGACTTGGTTGGGTTTAGTGACAATGATCATGGAGGTGACAAGAGTCCAAGTGAGATGATTTTCTACCTAGGAAGATATGTTGTGACATGCCAATCTCAAAAGCAAAGGATTGTTGCTTTGTCTACATGTGAATCTGAGTTCATGGCAGCGGCTGCATGTCAATCCATTTGGCTTGGGAATCTCGGAAGGAGCTTTCATGATACCACATCATGCATATCACCTTGTTTGTTGATAACAAGTCGGCGATTCAATTGATAAAGAATCTTGTGTTTCATGGTAGCAGCAAGCACATTGACATTCACTATTACTTTATAAGGGAATGTGTTGAGGAAAGACACATTGTAGTAGAACACGTAAACTCAAAGGATCAATGAGTGGGCATCTTTACAAAGGCCTTGACATACGTGAAGCATGACAAAATGCAAAATATGCTCGGCGTGACGGATACTGAGCTTGGTACAGTTTAAGGGGTGACATAATATTAAATTGGATAATAATAAATAAGAAATTGTCAGATAACCTTTTGTGTTAAACCTTGGAAGGGAATGATAACATGAGAATGATAGAAAAAAATGATAGTTTTCTTTTTCATGGGAATGATAGAAAAAAAAAAGAATAATAGAAAATAAATGGTAGGATAAAAAGTGACTTTTCTCAGGAAACATTTCTCTAAACAATTGTAGGGTACAATTATTTAAAGATCTTCCTAAGTGGAACATGACCTTGTCTTTATTAGTTTATTAGATATATTTCTCTAAACAATTGTAGGGTACAATTGTTTAAAGATCTTCCTAAGTGGAACATGACCTTATCTTTATTAGTTTATTAGATATGCTAGATACTTTTTAGAATTTATGAGATATGTTTAGATATGAGTAGATTATTTTGTATTTTAATATTAATCATCTTAAACTATATATTTATTTGGTGGTCACCCTCTTCTAGCAACTAATATAACCGTCCATTTCCTTTATATAAGACTTAAGCTTTTAAGCTTGTAATATTTGGCCTTATTTTGTCTTGTGTTTCTATAGATTTTTGCCCATACTATGAACGGTAAATCACCTTTAATATCGCATACCAATTAGATCCTTATTTCCAACAGACTTTACTAGTCACCTTTAATATCGCATACCATTAGATCCTTATTTGCAACAGACTTTACTAGTCACTGTAATAATCACCACATAAAATAGATGCATATGTAGTGCAAGTGATGAAGAAAGAAAGGGTACTTACAAAGGCAAAGCCAGAAGTGATGGGTTGAGAGGAGATCAAGGCATATTCACCTGAGTATTTGCTAAGAAACATCTTGATGTACGGAATTTCATCAACAATGGCATCAGCATCACCATCTTCTGATAAAGCATGAGCATAATCCTCGTATGAGTAGTATGCCCTTCGGTAATTATCTTCAAAGTGCAGGTTGCTGACAGTCACTCCTCTCATAAAAGAATCTCCATGAAACCCCACAATCCTGCCTTTTGATGCCAATTCAAATTGCTCTACTGTCAACAGTGAAGCCAAAGTTGCTGTGTAGCTCGTGATCAAGACAAGCACCACGAGTAACCAGATAAACATTACAATTCTTGACAGATTGCTTGACAACTTCTCTCCTACAATACAAAATGCAACTCACTTTGAGATCTTGATTTAGATTCTCTATATCAAGAATTAAAAGTTTCTTAGAGAGAAAGAGGGAGAACTTTGAGCAAAAAAGATGGTCAACAGGATGAACCAGACGATTGTTCCAATTCGCTGAGCTGGTGAGCATTCAAATTCGGATTCTTGATTCAAACATTCAATAGCCCAAATAACAAATCCAGTTAGGATAAGAGAAGCCATAGCAGTTAGCCATAGTCCCATGTCCAGAGCCTTCAAGAAGAACCACATGTCTTCTTTCTTGACTCTTGCTACTGTTCCTACACCCAATTCAGTGTAAGTCGATGTAAAGTCCACATACACAGATCTGTTAGCCAAGATTGTTGAATCCCCCACAACTCCATCAATTTCCTGTCCACAAGCAAAGCCATATATATATATATATATATATATATATATATATATATATATATATATATATATATATATATATATATATATATATATATATATATATATATATATATATATTACACACACACACCACCAAACTAGATGTATTTCCTAATGAAGCTGAAAGTAAAGAACTAAAGATGAGCAAGAGTAATTATATAAACATGTAACAAGCTGAAACATATATACCTTATTGTTGACCTTCTGTGCAAGATCATCGTAATTATTGGCGTTGTCAAATAAAATGAAAGTGTATGGCACTTCATATGGTAAAGCACGAATGCATGTGTTGAATACATCTATGGAAAACCCAGTAGCAGTTGTAACATTTTTCTCAACATCATGATCTACATCAATGAAGTACTTAAAGTTTCTTATCTTCAGAACACCAATTTTCAACCTTTTATTTGGAGTTGCTCGCAACACCCAACCTTTTGGAGCAGTTGTAGACCCTCCGGGCCAGATAACAGCTTCAGGACCTAGAGTAGAGTGTTGATAGACGCTGTTATTCATTGGGTATCCTCGACTGATTCCTTCTGATAGTGTCCAATATCCTACTCTCTTCTCACCATAGTCGATGGCATTCATAATCTCATATCCATTGGATCTTATTTTTCTTTCACTCAGATCAAACTCACCACTTATACCCTTAAATCTTGTTTTCAAAACCTCATGTAAGAGCAAAAGTCCATTTTGTGGGACCCCAACTTTCTCTACAGACTCAGCAAGCGCCCAGATTGTGTCGTATGCCCATATGGCAGGCACAGGTACTTCTTTCGTCAATGAGGTATGGTAGTTTCGGTAAAAGAATTTGTGCCATGTCGCTTTTAAGTTATGCAGCCTGACTGATGGTGGAACATACGGCCTAAAACCTATCGCCCCTTGTAATGACTCAACAACTGTAAAGTTTGTTGAACGGAAGAGGTCAACTGTTTTTTCAGTTAAAATCCATGCATATTCTTCCGTTACCATTCCTAAGCTTTTTGCATTCAAGAAGAGGTTGGATGCTAATGAAGGCGACATATGTACGATGATGATAGTTGTCTGAAAATTCATGAGCTTGTGCAACTCCTCCGTGATTTCATGAATCGTGGCTGATGATGAAATGGCACTTGTGTAACTGATCTTCATGTTATTATCTTGGAATGACTCAACCAGATAAGGTAATATCTCCCTCCCATCATCGGTGTCCTCATGAACAATGATAACATTCCTCCATTTATATAATTCCATAAGGGAAGCAATGCTTTTGGCCATAGTGGATTCATCTTCTTTGATTTGGAACAAGTATGGGTATTCCATTGAGGATCTACCAGCAAAAGAAAATATAGGAACTTGAGCTTTATCAGCAAACAAGGATAATAACTTCGATTGAAGATAGATTTCTGGGCCTATGATAGCCTGCACCTTCACGTTTTTCAGAAGATGATCAACTGGTAATTAAAAGAAACAAATATAAGTTAACCGAATATAAAATTAGATGAGAGTTGAAGGAAGGAATTAGAAAACAAGAGATTATACCAGCTGACAGAGCTTTTAATGGATCTCCCTTAGAGTCCCGAGTGTGAACAACTATCCTTGTTTTGTAACTGTGATTAAGATCATAAAAATCAGATATGGCCATGGTAATGCACCTGTGAATGGACTTGCCAATCCATGACTCCATGTCTAGAATGATCCCAGTGCTTATTACGATGTTGTTGTTTATGTTGAAGTTTTTGTTTTCTGATGGAGCGGACTGTGCCCATAATTCACGGTTTAGAAAGCAGAAGAGGATTAAAAGGGAAAGGCTGATTTTATTCTCGCTATTCATCGGCTTTGCAGATTGGTGCTTGTTCTGAACTACTTGCGCAGCTATATGTTGTGAAAATCTTATACGACTTTAGTGTTTTTTAGGGGTTTTGTTCGATAGAAGAAAAGAATTCGTCAAACTTGTTGATAGCGACCAATTACCACTATCATGCATTTAGGTTAACTGACTAATAATTAATGCAATAACGATGAAGCAAAAATGTATGATGGGTCTTGCAAGGAAGATCATGTTTCTCTACATTCTATTCTATTATAATAATATGTCGATCAGATGACAACAAATGTGGGATCTATTAGTATCATTCTATCGTTAGAAATTTTCTAGGATCATTCTATTGGTTAGATCGACGGGAGGGAATTTGAACACGACATGTTGGAAAATATTTCCAATGGTTTGTTTTATATGAGTTAAAATCTCAACCTTACTAAATTCAAATAGATAATGCAATGTTATTCCTTTTAACAAATACGGAGTGATATTTTCTAAAACTTAGAAAATCAAAAAACTCGTTTATATTGAAGTTGATTTTAATGACACCTAAACCTCTTTTAATGCAATTAGAATATTTGAGTGACTAAAGTTTCATTTCATAGTTGCTAAGTAAGAAAGTATTGATTCAAAAATATCTATCTTAGTAATAAGTTCTGATTGAGTAAGAAATCATATGGTTTGATTGTATATCTAACTATATAAAATGACTATTTTACGATGCTACTTTATACGGTGATGGATGGTGATGGATGAAGTTGATAAAAAGTTATAAAAACATACAAATTTTTATACAATATGTAAATAACACATAAATCATTTGAAAATCCAAATAAAAAATGGTTAACTATTTGTATTCTATGAAGGTTTGATATATATATATATATATATATATATATATATATATATATATATATATATATATATATATATATATATATATATATATATATATATATATATATATATATATATATATATTGTATGATTAAACTTTAATATATAATTGGTTATGTATTTGTATCATGGGAAAATTGATTTATATTATATTATCTAATTTTCAATGTAAAATTCACAAAAGGACTTACGAATTGAAAACCCAACCCACATAAAAAAATTGTTGGATATTAATTTTCACGTTACATTCTCATCCCAATTAATCTTCCTCGTCACCTCACTCTCAAGTCTCATCCATCCTCCATCTCTTCCTAATTAGTCATCGTGCAACCACCCAATCTGCAAATATAGCTCTCTAAATGGAAGACGAAGCAGTCGGAGAAGGCAGAACACCTCTGTTACATTTCATGTGCGTCTCGTTCTCATAGCAATCATCCTCTGATTCCGCTTTATTCTTGCTCGTTCGAGAATGCAGAACAAAGACTCGCACTTTTTGCTTGTTGCAGGTTAATAAAATTAGCATTGAAAGAGAGAAGAAAGTGGGAAGGAGGCGCTGAAAATTGGAACGTAGGGCAAGGGCATTTTTGGAAACGGCTCTCTCTTTCTCACTCAGACGACTTCCCTCATCTTTTCGGCTCAGATCTAGCTTACCGAATTAGACATCCAAAATCCGCTTAACAAACAACTTTTGCTTACCGAGTCAGCTAGAAACATCTTACCCAACTCGGTCAGAAGTATATCAAACACAGCCTAAGACTGTGATCAAAGATCCAAGTTTGGTGGTATAGAGTACACAATCATATAAAGCAATTTTCTATCGCGACCACGACAAATGTTAGAGGTCAAAGGGAAGGGCCTCTTGGACATCGACATACAAAGTTATCTGATATCCATGTTACATCGGCCAACACAAGTTGTCAGGGACAATCTAGCTATATAATCAGTTATCTTGTTATCTCAAAAAACTCTGTCAAATAATTTTTTTTTTTCAAAATTTACTATTAACCGCAAAAACTGTCATTTTGTCAAGCTTATCCACTTTTGATATCGTCTATAAAAAACTCTAGCACATTGTTTATTTATTATTTAATTGTGCCTCAATTCTTTTATAGATTATTTCATATGAATTTCATGCATGGATATAAGATCAAAATATTAATTATACGAGGTAAATTCTACACTAAACTCAAGATATCTAGGTAACTATTTTGATTATCAAACTAAGCTGATTTCTTACTTATTTCCAACATACATATGCTCAAGTTTTATAGGCCAATCTAGACGGTAAGCAATATGAGCGATCATCCGGGGCCCATCGTTACAAAGCGTCCAAAAATTTCATGAGCTAGGTAATATTGATGTATAACCAATAATCTATTGTTAAGAATATATATATATATATATATATATATATATATATATTATATATATATATATATATATATTGTAACACCGTAAATTTTCAAAACAATTTTCCGCATTTATAAAAACATAATTCATTTGTAAATCATAAAAACATCATTGTTTGAAACTCAATGTATAACATATAACAATATCCCAAGATCTTGTATCATAAAATCCCATGTGTGTACTGATCAAGCCGGCGCCTTCTCGCGATCCTCACTAGTACCTGAAACACATAACACAAAACACCGTAAACACAAAGCTTAGTGAGTTCCCCAAAATACCACATATAACACACATTGGCCACTCGAGGCTATAACTCTGTAGGTCCGTGCACCCAAACTCTGTGAACCCTCAGGTTCTAACTCTGCAAGCATGCACAACATAAATCACATAGAAGAATGCAGTACAATAAACAATATATATATATATATATATATATATATATATATATATATATATATATATATATATATATATATATATATATATATATATATATATATATATATATATATATATATATATAAAGCACTGTATCACATAACTCTATTTACCTACTCAAGGTAAAGTATAGTGAGAAGACTCACCTTGCGTATCTTGGTAACTCATAAATCCCTGAAATCACTAGTGCTCGATCTCCCGAGATATAGTCCTCCTATAACACAATACATCTCTAGTTAACACTTCCTAATTAAGGTTGACTAACTCTATCAAGTCAACACCGGTCAACTCTGGTCAATGGTCAATGGTCAACCCCAACTCGCCGAGTTTGGCGTGGACTCGCCGAGTCCCTATGAGAACCCCATTTCCTCTGAGTCCCTTCCAACTCACCGAGTCACTCACCCAACTCGGTTACTTAACCCCTGGTTCGAAATCTATGAACAACCCGCACCAACTCGTCGATTCTGCTAATGGACTCGGCGAGTGCATTCCATGCACAACCCCAAACGACCTTCTGAGGTCAAATCTGTTTCACTAACTCATAGATCCAGTCCTTCCAAGCTTATTTATCATGTAAAGTCGCTATCCTGATGTACATGCAACATCTATATGACCTTATATGATGATTTAGCCCCAAATACCACAACTCAAGGTCATAACCTCCATTGACCTTATATGAGAAATCGCGTCTCTACTCGGCGAGTCTACGCAACAACTCGCCGAGTTCCTCTTCAAAACTCAAAATAAAAAGAATAAATATAATACCTGAAATTCCGGATGTTACAATTCTCCCCCACTTGAATCCGACTTCGCCCTCGAAGTCTCAACCCTAAAATAGCTCCGGATGCTACACCCGCATCTCACGCTCCGGTTCCCAAATAAGCTCCAACCCTTTTCGATGCTGCCACTGGACCTGAACCAGAGGCACCTCCTTGTTCCTCAGAACCTTGATCTTCCGATCCACAATCGTAATTGGTCTCTTCGCGTAGTTCAGGCTCGCATCCAACAGAATGTCCTCTAACAGCATTGTTGCCGACTCGTCGGCTATACACTTCCTCAACTGAGACACATGGAAGGTGTTATGAATCCGCTCCAATTCCGTAGGTATCTCCAAGCGATACGCTACCTTGCCCACCCTCGCGATTACTCTGAACCGCCCGATATACCGGGGCCCTAGGTTGCCCCTCTTCCTGAATCGAATCACTCCTTTCCAAGGAGATACCTTAAGGAGAACATAGTCACCGACCTGGAACTCAAGCTCGGATCGTCGTCTATCCGCATAACTCTTTTGGTGGGTCTGAGCGGTCAACAATCTCTATCTGACTAGCTGAATCTGCTCTGTCGTCTGCAGCACAATCTCTGTACTTCCCATTACAAGTTGTCCTACTTCTCCCCAACAAATGGGGGTCCGACACCTCCTCCCATACAACAGCTCAAAGGGCGGTATACCAATGCTCGAATGATGGCTGTTGTTGTAGGAAAATTCCGCTAAGGGCAAATACGTGTCCCAACTTCCGCCGAAATCTAGCACACATGCTCGAAGCATGTCCTCGAGCATCTGAATCGTCCGTTCACTTTGTCCGTCGGTCTGCGAATGGTATGCGGTACTAAAATGCAACCTTGTACCCAACTCCTCATGGAATTTCTTCCAAAACCTGGAAGTGAAACGCACATCCCGATACGAAACAATCGAGATTGGCACCCCATGTCGCGATACCACCTTGCTCACGTACAATTCTGCCAACCTCTCAGTAGAAGAGCTCTCACTGATGGCAAGGAAGTGAGCGATCTTCGTCAACCTGTCCACAATTACCCAAATTACATCGACACCACTAGCAGTCCTTGGCAACTTGGTGATAAAATCCATGGTGATCTGTTCCCACTTCCATTTGGGAACCTCCAACGGCTGCAACTTACCATGCGGTCTCTGGTGCTCGACCTTAACCCTACGGTAAGTTAAGCACCTCTCAACAAACCACGCAACATCCCTCTTCATACAAGGCCACCAATACTCTCTCCTCAGGTCTAAATACATCTTAGTGGCCCCAGGATGGATCGAGAATTTCGACCGATGAGCCTCTTCAATCAAAATGGTATGCGTCGCTCCCACAAACGACACCCATATACGCCCCTGAAATGTCATAAGCCCCCGACCATCGGTAACGAACTCCGATACCACCCCAACAACCCTCTCTCTCTTCTGTTTCTCCAACCTCACGGCCTCAGCCTGTGCTCCACGAATGGTATCCAACACCGGAGCCATCACG